GTCGTCCGGCAAGGCCTCGTAGATCAAGCGGTTAGAGCGTCGGCTGAACTAAAGCCTCCCGCTCACAACGCGGGTTCGAATCCCACAGAGGCACCGAGTTTTTCACAATTAAGTCAATATGAATTATTCAGAATCTGCCAAATCTTATAGGAATTACGTGAGTCTGGTAGTCATCTAGTGGATTCTGTATGAATTACTTCGGAAATCCTGCTTGGGCAGTCAACTTACTGTATCAGATTTGGTGGATTCCAGACTTTGCAGTAGGTTGGGCGGGTAACTCAACCCACATGTGATTAAACTCGCGCCGTCCGGTGGGGCCTCGTAACTCAAGGGATTAGAGCGTTGGCTGTGCTAAAGACTTCCCCTTACTGCCTGTGTTCGAATCACACCGAGGCACCGAGCTTTCCACAGTTGGGTGAATATGAATAATCAACACTGTCCATCAAAACAACACCAGTTCCATTATTTGGTCTAGTTATCAGCATGTCTTTCTTCCGTCGGAGTTGCTTTAAATTCTCAATGTGTGAGTTCGTCAGCAACCCCCGATTTTTCTGACGACTGTTCAGGTATTGATAAGAGCGACTGACTTGCGTGGACTTAAAGATGTTGTACGCTCTCTGTTGGAACTGGCTGAACGTCGTGTTTGGTTTAAGAGGTTCTCGAATTGTGTTTCTAACTCCAGCTGGTTGGGTTCCTGGCGATGAAAGCAGAACCTAGAATTTAACGACCAGTGTTCAATCAATATTTTTATCGAGAGATATAAACGAATAATTGTGTACGTACGGACTTCGACCTTCAGGAATCTGCATTCGTGAAAACTCCGAAGAATGGAAGTCCTCTTGGTTTCTCCACGCTTGTCCGAAATGGGTTGTCCATAATTCTCGAATTCCTGTCTCTTGTCTTCGCCCAGTTGATCGAGTATGACTGTTCGTTGACAAAAATGATGTCCCAACTCTTTAAAATTTACATGCGCGCTCTCTATTTCCTTTTCGGCGTATCTTTTCAAGGTATCATAGGTGATAACCACGCAACACCGTCGCATTGCTCTCCAGTACGATGTCGGTTACTCGTTTCTCGCGAGGAATTTCCCTTACCTTAAACCCGAGCTGTTACATAATTATCTGCTTGCCCGTGTCTTTCAATTCATTACTTCAATAGCCGACTAATTTACAAGCCTAAGACAGACATAAGGCGAGCCTCCTCTGCGGACGGAGAATCAGGCTGCAAAGTTTCATCTTAGTGTGGTCTCACGTGATACCACTACTCAGTTGGGATCCAAGCAGACGATTTTTGTTTCTCTGAAGCCCTGGGAGAGCATGAGCGATTCGGCAACATGTTGCACATACGAAGGGGACGTTTTACTTCGTCAGGCAATGAACCCAATCCTGCATCCGGTCTTCCTTTCTCTTTCTTCTCACCGGTCAAACAGAAGTTGGCCGTCAGACATCTTAAGCCGACTTTTCGAAGATTACAGCGTTACAGGACTCACGCTGATTATCAGTTACTTGTCAGAAAATGAAAAACTCAAAATTCAGGGAAAAATATTGGTATATTTTATTAAGAATATTCGTTTTTAATCATCTCGCGGGTAAGTTTCACCTGCTGATTTCATAGAGGAATTTAAACATGGTACGCTCATTCTTACATCGGGATATGACTCGCTTGTTAACGAAACACCATATGATGTTCGGCCAGCGTTTGGTTTTGAGGGCATCTTTTAGTACGCTAAATTGCGTGTAGCACAAGCAAGTTCACAGCGAATCGCGGTGGGGTCCGCCCCGCAGTTATACGAATGGCCTCATTTTAAATAGATCTTTAATGATGTTACGCAGATCGGTGCGGCCTTTTGCATAGAGGAGTAAAACGTGACAATTTTTAATTCCAATCGTAGTTTACCACGAACAGTTTTGTGTTACATTAGGAAATAAGAACGATTAATGGCCGGTCGTCCAACGATTTTTAAGCCACTCGAGTTTCCGAGTGACTGTTTAGATTTAAAAAGACATGTAGTGTCTATTTCTTGTCAGAGTTACGACAACGTCCATACGTGTTGTTTATTAGATTGTCAAGTTTTGATTCACTCGGTGCACTCTTCGCTTGCCGAATAACCTCTTCCACTCGATTCTTCGGCGGGTAAGTTCGACTGTTGCAATACGCACGCCTAGGTAGTAATCCCGTAGAATCTCGATTGCTCCTAGGTCGGGACTCAAAGACGGCCAGGCCACTAGCCTTTTGCTTTCATCGTAGCTACTGTCTCGTCCTCTGGGTCTCATGTATGCCACAGCTGTCGTCTTGAAACACCACGTGCCAACCGCCGTATTGATTCAAGAAGGGCATCAGTTGAGCAGGATTTGCCTGAGTGTGTGAGTGAACACTCTGCCTTTCCTGTAAAAGTGCCGATTCCAACTTGTTGTGCGGAACGAAATCTCCGCTGGTCATTACCGCCTCCGTACGATTGTCTGCCGCAGTTATGGACCTGCTTTTTTAGACCATTCCAGTAATGATTTCAATTGGTCGGGTCACTCAAGCTAGACTTCTGTTTGCTGGATAAGACCACATTGTGCTGTCCGTTTGTTCGGGATGTGATCACCACCCAAAAGCATTCGCTGTTCCGCGTAATTAATCGACATCGGTATTCGCCGAAGCTTCCAATAAACTAATGGCGCTAAATTCTCTATAACAGAGCGTGTAGTTGTCTTTAAGATCTCCAGCGCTACTGCTTCCTGCAGCTACCTCACTTAGCTACACTCAGCAGATACACTTACTTAGCTCGTCCTCCTTCCGGCTCGTTCCTCATTGTGGTTGCATGAATTGCTATTTTTCTATTCACGACGGTCTTTGGTCTCTTCAGACGTTGCCTGCTCACTTTACTGCGAAGACCCATTGATTGCACGTAACATCAAAATATCGTATCGCTAAAATCATATCAGCTGTACACTTCTTAGCAGTCGTACAAGGTATAAAATGACTTCATTTAGCTGTTTTTTTTTGGAACAAATAGGTTTGTGAGTGCCACTCGTCAGGCCGTTATCACTTTGCTGGGTGGTAGTGGCAGAGCAACACTTCCATTTTGTCTCATTTCCAGTCTACACAGTTAGAAACGTTGACACTAGGTGGCTTTTTCTTGTTGGTCAGCCGTTTTCTGACCTAACTTGCTAACTAGCACCATACTAGGCAATTCGCCTCTCTCTCTCTCTCTCTCTCTCTCTCTCTCTCTAAGCCTTATTCACACCAAGAGTCGTCACTTCTCTCCCGCAAAAAGCCGAGTCGATCTGCGCAAGATTCTTGAAATCTTATTCCTTATAACTGAGACCAGCTGCATATCAGTAGTTGATACTACCTTATTTACTAAACGGAAATATATTTTAGCTGTTGACGTTCCAATTTGAAAGTTTCCATTTTTAAGTCTTTCTTCCTCTTACCACTGAAGCCCGACTGCGGTACTTGGCCGCATGTGTATTCATCCTTAGAATAGCAGTGTGAAGAAGGCTTCGTCACACACCACGGTTTGTTGAAAAGGCCTATTCGATTGCCCGAGAAGTCTCGTTATATTTCCCAGTAAACTTTAAAGTGTAAATATCGGAAACCATGCCAGTGGGCCATGCCTCTGAAGACATGGAGTAGGCGTACAGTGGCGTTGACTCTGCACACCACTTGGTTTAAGCCCCATAAACAGACAAACCCGTCAGCAAACTCCCGGAGTAATTGCTCACTAAAATTGCCTACCTTTCTGACTATTTGGGGACAAAAAGCACAGGCAGAAAACAGATTGTCAAGAAATGCGAAAAGTAAGCGCTTTGGGGATGTCCACCATAGCACAAGGAAGCCTGTGTACAGTGGGGGTGTCGGAACTCTATTGCCGTCAGTGAATCACTTTCGGGTAGACTTCGGTCGTTTAATGGAAGTCCTTTCAGCTGGTGTTGTTTTAGGGACTGCAATCATGCATTAACACAGCCAAGTTGGACAAGTCATAGTAAGAAGTTGCTACCTACTTGATGAATAGGTAACCTAACAAAGTCTAAGGGATCTATGTGAATTTGTATAACAAGGTCTTTGTTACAGTTTAAGAGAGGAGGAACACCACCCTCATTATCACCAACATCACCGTTGCAAAGGAGATCACCGTCGTGTCCTTCCTTTGCGTCATATCATACGTACACAACCTGCAGTCGCTGTCCGTGAACTAGATACTCTTCACAGTCGTCTTACGGATTAAAGTTTTCAGCCTGCCTTGCAAAAGCCCTGACAAGCACTTTGCATATAACACCATGCCTAAATACACATATGTGCATATCCTACAAAACTATTTCCTCGTGCTCGAACCACGGGTATTTACATTTATTTTTAGCCAGCGTTTGTGTCTGGAGTGCAGTTGAAGAATATTCTGTATACGAAACACGCACAAATGCAAGATTTAATAACATTGTGCGGTATTCGGCCGGAAGTTGGGTCACCGAATTCCAATGCTCACATGAAATCGGTCCCAGACAAGAAGAGTCCTGTTTTGAAGACTTTACTGAAAGTTTGGTCATCTGCGCCCGACAAAATAATAGACCATCTTTCACCCGCTTCTTATATCTGTGCCTTGCATGCGGTAATTAACGTTTATCTGTTCGGAATAATTTATTCAATCCCTTTTTTGATTAACCTCCGAGTTAGTATCTTATTTTTTGTCCTTATTTAGGTTGCAAGCATAGGATATTTCTGAAAGTTGATCTCTCCCACTTTCTTGGCTCACAGATACCTCCAAGTTTCCTTCTGAATGACTTTGTCTTCCGATGACAATTTTAATCTACCTCATTTTCCGGGCTCTGCAAGTCTTTTAAACGACCTCGGGAGTAAGCCGTTTACTTATTTCGAAACGATTCTTTTAGAGGAAGTCCTCGTAAAACTTCGAGGTCATAAATGCTACATCGGATACCTTCGTGCCGTTGATCAATTCGGTTTTTCGATTTCTTCTCATCTCTTACATAGGCAGGCAATATAATTTTGCATGATGCCCTGGAGCGTATCTTTGTGGGAGACAAGTATGCCGACATAAAGCAAGGTATTCTACTAGTTCGTGGAGAAAACATCGCACTTATTGGGGAGCAGGTAACTCCTACTTGATCTGGAAGATAACCATTTTTGGAAATGAATCAGACCCTGGCATCTACCTGTCAGTTTAAAACAGACGGCTAGTTTGTCGGATCTCTTTTACCGTTAAGACGTTGTTCGCTCGAACTGTGACTCGAACCCTCAGTTCTACAGTGTCTGGTCATTGTATAGGATACTTGATGAGTACGGGTCGGTCATGTCTGATCTAGCCGGCCTCGATGATATCACGGACTGTACTTCTCCACGCTTGGCGATTCACAGCAGATCTGGACAGCTCAACCTATTCTCTTCACCAGCGACGGAGATCAAATACCGAAGGTCCGAGAACTAATTCCATGTCGTGAAGGCTGTGTCGAGCTAGGTTTTAAGTTGACCGCCTAAGTGGGTATCGGTACCGCGTCGAGGGCAGAAACATGAGCTCGTGAGGTGGACGACCAAGATCGTGCCCAAACCACCCCAGTCGTCTTTTTTGAATTCCTGATATATCCTTGCGATATTGTCACAGCTAGTGCCGGCTGCCTCATTTGATACGAACTCGGTGTACTTCACTCGGAGGATGGTCCTCAAACAGTGGTGGTCAAATACCTTGCAGTTTTCTCTCCCCTTTTACGCGCACAGCCCAGCGTTCACAATCGTACAGAAGGACTGGCTGGACGGATGCACGGTACACACGGATCTTCCTACCGATGGAGCTGTCGCGTGGGGTTTGTAGACGTTTTCGAAAGCTCGAGAAAACCAGGCGAGCAGCATCATTTCAGAAGACAATGTCGTCGTCCTTACTCTGCCCATTCGGCAGCAACCACACCCCGAGGAATTTGAAACTGTCTATATCTTCAAGTTGACAGCCACCAATTTCTAGAGGTGCTTTCGTCTGGTCAGAGGTGCGGTTTGAAAGCACTTCGGTCTTCCCATCGTTTATGGACAAGCTGACGGACTTAACGACTTCATTCACCTGGGACACCATGTACTGTTGCTAAAGCTTGAAGGTATTAAAGCGACGCAATCGGCGTAGCAGAGATTAGTCGGCCGGCGGCCGGGTGAAAACTCGACATCGTCAACTTCATGTAGGGCGTTCCCGAGAATCCAATCAACGGGGTAGTTGAACAGGAGCGGCAAAATACAACCTTACTGAACGCCAGACCGAACATCGAGCGTTTGAGATTGTTGTGGACTAGAACTCCGGCTGTGGTTGAGCGATAGTAGGCCTTTATCATAGTTGTGATTTTGGCCGACACACCATCCAGCTCCATTATTTGTCAGAGTCTAACGATGAACGGGATCGAACGCAGCGGTGAAGTAAACACGGCAGATGGCCGCCTGCTGTTTGTAGCTATGATGGAATTCGATAATGCTCCTCGATGTAAATATCTGGTCGGCGCATTTACGCCCAGCTGGGAATCCGGCATGGTTAGGTCTCCTTCTAGAGTCACGTACAGTCCTGAATCGGTTAAGAAAGATAACGTCGAAGACCTCCACAGCAACGTCGATGAGGCTTATGCCGTAGCAGATTTCATTTATTGTCTTATCACCCGTCTTGAAGACAGGCACAAGGATTCTCGAGCCCCAGTCATTAGGAACAACCTCATCTCTCCGCGTTTGTTCAATCACTTCATGGAGCCAGGGCACCAGAATGTCGATACAAGGCTTGTAGATTTTAGCGGCAATACCGTCTTCTTCGTGCGCCTTGTTGTTGCATAGCCTTTGTACATTGCACAAGCGACTTATTCAGAAGGGGTTCGCATGACGCTGCATAGGTTGGAACGGGATAACACTGCTACAGAGGAGAGCGAGGGTGTGATGGGTTGCTCGTCAAAGTGGAGAAGGTGCTGAAAGTGCTCACACCAACGATCGATCTTGGTCAAGTGGTCAGTAGTAAAGCCGCCCTTGGCATCGCGAACAGAACCGCTCAGTATCGAGGGCTTATCACTAACTTGGCGGATAATTTGTTAGACTTCGAGTGTCACCAACGTTTGAGGCCTGTGCCATGAAAGTGGCTGTTTTAACCCAATATTCCTTCCGGTTATTCCCTGTTGATTTTACCGTCATTTTTCGGAGTTGGCGGAAAGAATCATCATTACGGGACCTAGCTCGGGCAGTTTGGGCAGACAACTGCTAGGCCCCTCCGCTGATCCGGCCATTACGTCGTCACTGGGTGTATCGAAGGATTTCCTCAGCTGCCCCATAGTCTGATGACCACTGGCCACTGCCATCTCCGTCGACTCGGTTCGTAAAACGGGATCAAATGTCTCTGCTCAGGGCGTCGCTAGTATTGGGCTGTCGTAGTTTGGCGACACCAAGGTGTCTTGCACGCGTCGTTTTGGGTGCAAATGAGAGGTCAACTTTCGGGCTTGTGCAAACAAGACCATGGCCAGACCCAGGAGCGTTAATAATTTCGGCACCGCGCATCGATCTGCTATCGTGAACCCATCTGCGGAACCTTAAACTGACTAGAATGTAATCGAGCCGACCGATTCTGTGATCGTCATTTTAATTCCAGGTATCAGCAGATGTTAGTGGCGATGCTGAAAACACTTGTCGGTTCTGATCAGCAGCGTTTAGCATTCTCTCATCGTTTCCCGGCGAACCAAATCCAAAGCGGCCAATATGGTGACTGTTTGAAGAGTCGTCAGGTCCAGTTCGGCCATCCCGTTCCCCGACAACAACCAGCAGATCATGACGGGAGAGCCTTTCAACTAACGCTTGGGGCTGCGAGTAAAATACTTTGTCACGTTGTGCGGCAGTTGATGTTAGTGCGTGCACGATGATGACGGTGATCTTCGTAAAATGATCCTTAAGTCGCACATAGACCATCCAGTCATTGACTGATTCCCAGGCGAGTAGTGCACGGTTCGTTTGTTGCCAGAGAGCGATCGCCACCCCGTGTCTACCAGAAAAGTCGCGTGGGCTGCTCTGGTACAGGGTAAAGTGTGAGTTGACTCCCAGGGTATTTATTTCCCAAGCACCAGAGTCGGGAATTCGAACTTCATACAGGCAGCAGACATCCACATTGTCCTGATGAAACTGCGCCATCAGACTTTGGGTGCCAGGGTCCAGGAACGTTCGCGCATTCCGAAGTCCAATACCTAGGATCCATTGTCAATTGAGTGATCCAGCTTGCATACTACTTGTCCGCACTGCTGAACCAAGGTTGTGTAGCCCGTCGGTTCCCGCAGACATCGTAGCATGGATCGTAATATTGTATTCGGACATATTTTCATGAGGTTTCTAAGGGATTATGAGTACACACACATCCTCAACAACCGCTGGGATTATTTATTCGAGGTTGGCTCCTCTAGCGCTTTGGTCCAAGAACCTAATAACAAGGCAGCGGTGGCAGTCAAACTAACTTACTGGCGGTTCACGTTTGCCATGTCGCGGTGCCGTCATCGGGCTTCGTGGCACTTTATGAGGCTGTCGGCGTGCTGCACCCCAGGCCTCTGCATCTTGGCAGTGATCCGAGTCTGTTTATCTCACAGTCGAAGGCCATTCCACTATCCGTCACCTGTGACCGCACTGGGTAGCTAGCTAGGCTGACGGGTAACCAGTCTTTCCCTCTTCCTGGATTTAATCTTGAACAGTACCGTTACTTCATTAGCCAACATTCTATTTGGTCTTCCAACCACACACATCTGATTTTGGAGCGCACGTTTATGCAACACATGTTGGGGAAAATATCGTCTAACACCTTATTTAAGTTTCCTACCCAAGTATTATTTTAAGCCAGTCTACCCACGCCACGCATGCACTTCACATCATCGTATAATAAATTCATTTGAAATACGCCTATTTATCCGATACGTCGAACTGTGCTGAACCTTAACGCTAAGTTCTTTAAAGCAATTTGTAAAAGGCTGCTGTATTAGGATCATTGTCTGCTTCGATGAAATTGCTCTCTCCCATCACTGTACCCCCGGTTTTTTGTATCCACCCATTAGAAGCCAGATTTTGACATTGACTCGAGGTTTACAAGGACTTCAGAAGAGGAAATATTCCGATTACGGGCCGATCATCTTGCAGAAGTAAAGCAGGCATCCAAACGGCGAGCTGAAATCCTTTCCTCTCGGGGCATTGCATGGCTTGAACCTGACTCTATCCTGGATGACGTCTGATTTGAACTAGCGCTCAGCATTTACTGCTCTAAATCGTCTAATTTTCCTCATTCCGCGTTGTGTATATGATGTCTTATTTCGTATCTGACTGAAGCCCGTGACCCTGAAGACTGCCCTCTTTTCTGGGGGCTTTCGGGACCTACTTCCTTGACAAGCAGTCGACGTTTCTCTGTGCGTACGGAGGCCCTGTATATTAGAATATTTTCCCTATTAACCGCTTCTTTGCCTGCTGATCCTTTCTCTTCAAAACCTACCCAGGCAAAACGCTGTCCCTGGTGGCTTAAACAGAAATCTACTGCACCTTTCGTAGGATCGAATGGAAAATTTTCGAACATTAGTCAGGGATGCTAAGTACACTATCGAACCACCAACTATCCTATCTGCTTGTGTCTTTTGCTGATTTGTTTCACTTTTTGTCGTCATCGTGTGCGCTTGACAACACCGCCAGCTCCCTTCAGCTCAAAAGTGACTCTGTCGTAGTTTTTGAGCAGGAGACGATCTCAGCGGTAGTTCGGTCATTTATTTTTCTCGAACAGCTGAAACAGGTCCAGGAATGGGTTTGTGTTAGGTTGCAAGGCAATACGTGTGATCGTATTGAGTGGCACATATGAAGCAGGACTTCGCAGCTACCACATCAGGCCGACCGTTTAATGTGCTTCCCGTTGCAACTACTGGGTCGAGGGTTTCTTACCGTGATATCAAACGGAAGGTTCGGAGGCGAGTTCGTTCGTTGGTGATCACCCATCGTCGAATAATGCCTCTGGGTCGGCGTCGGGCATCCAAAAAATATTTAGCAGACCTTGGAACCGTTCTCAGATGGTCAGCATCTCTCTGGGCCGGAAAGGACACTAGCCGGGTCTGATCGAAGTAGTCATCGATCAGGTGCAACAAGTCTGACTGTAAAACTGTGGTAATATGCAGCGATGCGATCGCTTGGAGGGAGTAGCTTAAATGGATCGGGGTGTCATGACTCCCTGGTAGTACGCTTTCTTGCGGCGGGAGGAGGGGATTTGGGAACTCTGGCGAGAGCACGAACGCTAGACTTTCTAGGAAACTGTTACAGCTTTTCCGTTTGCCAAGTTACCGGCGTCGTTTGTGGTTAGGAGTTACGTCGTGCGCTTTCCAGTTTGGGGTTTGGCAGAGGCGAAGACACCGAACGCGTATGCGCTCGGTCGTTTCTGTCACGATACTGCCCTTTATTTTGGTATTGTCTAAGCGGCTTACCTCGATAAGCCTCGTAGACAGCATTCTCTAGATAATTGGCTCTAGCTGTCTCCACGTCTTCGATAGATCACTCGCAGGTGGCCGTGGCATCTTCAGAGTAACTACCTCGAAAGAGGCATATTTTCAACTCATGCCTTTTTGCTGGCCGGGATTTCCAGCGTTTTCCAAAGTGGGGTGGGGGGCTACTTCGCTTCCGGTTACCCAACAGTGACCAGGGCAACACGTCCGCGTGCCGCCTCAGCCGACCCACGTGATTCTCGCGAGAGCTTAAACTATAGGCAGTCCTAGCCAGGCCTCGGGTAGGAGTTCGGCGCCAGTGAAGAGGGTACTGTATTCTCTATGGAACGGATAGAAAGAGGTTGAGACAAGTTGACAGACGGTAGCGAGAGGTGTTAGTTCAACGCTGATGGATCAGACATCAAAGCTTTGAGCGTAGACATCTGCGTCAGCCCTGAAGTTGATTAGCCGGTTTAGGCAACTTTGATTGACCGAAAATTACGCAGAGCCTCTGGGTTTCCGGGTGTGGTCAGGACCGATGCGGACAACAGACGGGCCTCACAATCTCCGATGAACGACTACTGTTGGTGCGTATGTGCAAGTTTGCGTCGGAAATGTAGTATAAAAACAGGTTCCCGGGGTTGGGTTACTACATATTCAAGGACTCAAGTGCACCGGCACACCATCCGTCTGGACGTAGACCCGTAAGTTCCCTCAGTCTGGTCCGCTGCTTGTGTACACTCGTTCCCCTAGGCTCTAGGGACACTGGGTACGACTCCAATTGCCTCGGTTGGGCTTGCTTTAATTTTAACTGCTGCAGTTTCATGGCGGTTATTCCGAAGTAGACTCTTGAACTATAAGTTGATTCATTTGATGTGACAGCCTCGAAGAACGCCAGATCAGGGATGCGTTTCCGGTCAGCTTTTACCACGCCCACCCTCGTCAGGACAAAGTAAGGGCGAACCAGCATTTTGAACGATCTCATCACTAGATTGGCTTACCACATTGCAAAGCCATATGGGTCAGCGGATAATGGAGGCGCACATACCAGGCTCTGTCCATGAAGGGAGGTACAGTCGTTCATTGAAGATGAAATCGGAGAACAGAGCGCAGGCGCCATCAGTCGAACATATCCAGCCGAATGATGTCCTCTGAGTACCTAGGCCATGTCTCGCATGTAGGCGGGAGGTGTCTTGACATAGGTTTCATGTGCATGCAGTTTGGTCTTCATGCTGATCTCATGTAGATTCCGGAAGCCTAAACAAAGTTACACCCTAAATGTCCGGTTGATCCGACATTCAATTTCATCCTTACCTTGTGCATGTGACAAATTTTGGTCGATGATAACATAAGCAGTTCACTGCCCCAAAAGTCTACAGTGGCCTGTCGTATATATTCGACCGCAAAACCCGCGAGCAAATCTGTATTTGGAGGTTTCATTTAGAAGTTTACTGCTCCCGCCGTCGCACCTATCTGGAGCACAGTGCAATAAATGCCTGTCCAGTAGCTCACAACAACACGACTTCGTTAGCGTATTCGAGGCCTGCCGCAACATCGGGAGTTTTGTCAATGCCTGTTGAAGAGCCCGACAGATCACTTAGTAGTATGGATCTCACGAGGGAAGGCGTATGTGACAGATACCGAGGAGGGTGCAATGAAGGAAGTCGCTCTCCTCATCAATCACTAGGACTTCGGTCCTAAATCTGCGATAGTAAGCTCGAATCAGGCGAAGTCTTTTTGGTTGCACGCGATAATATGGCAGGATCGACGACGGAGAAACTCGATGGTCAGAGTCAATGGTGAATCAACATCTGCGAAAAAAACAGTACGATGTTGCAAGTCGAGAAGGAACAATTTCTGGTCAATAAATCCTCCTCCTGGACAAAGACCGCTCGGATTCTCATTCGCGCAAATGGGCACGACTGAGGAAGATGGATGCGAAGACCTTTCTGTCAGTAATAAGAAGACCTATACCACAATGGCTTCCCCACAGCAATCTATCAGCTTTCTTGGGGATTATAACACAGCCCCAGTCTGTGTACCAAAATTTGGACCAGACTACCCTGTAAATAATGAGCTAACACCGCCAAACAGAATTTCTACATAGTGGTTTGAAGGTTATTATTGCCACTTTTGCTATTGCCTCAGGATGTTGGGCTATGTTCGCAGACGCACGAGGCTGCCGAGTCGCTCAATACCCGGGCCGGATATAGAGCCTGCGCAAAGTATTCCTTCGGCCACCACCAGCTGCGCCGCTCAGGAAGTCCTCAATCGCATAAAACGTAGAAAACCATGACTGATTCAGTGACGAGGACAAAAAATTCGGTAGCCGTCCTCTAAAACAAACACGATTTATGTCGGCAGTAGTACCGATGGCGAATGGAAACGCTCATTCGATTTTGAGACCTACTACAGCAAATGCTTTGGGAAGTGGAAAATGTTGCGCTTGAAAAGTCAGTTTGGCAAACACGTGTTTTCAGTAACTCATCATCGGGCCAATACTTACAGTGAGCCCCGGAAAATCATACTGAACATTGGATGCCGGGAATGTCTCGGGAAAATGTTTTAGAAAACTTTCTCTTCGAGTGGATATGACTCTCAATGACAGAGGACGTAGGGTGTCGCATCCCGAGGTCCGCAAAATTTTGTTCTTGCGCACGGTCGGATGACAACATCTAGTATGGCATAAGCGGTCATATCAGCTTTTCTTGCCATTGTCCCTACTCTGTGTGCGTCATCACTGGTCCCCTCTTTTTAGAATTCTTTGTTTTTGAGAAAATGTCCGTCGATAGCCTCCTCATACGCCGGATTTCAAACCATAAGAGCTCTTCGTCCATTTTCTAAACCAGTGTTTGCAAGACCGTACGTCATGAACTGAATACAGATTTTTAGAATCTAATTTAATGCAGTCAAGCCATGAGTGATTGTTTATACGTTTACTCTTGCACATCCACTCTTGCTTTAGGACGTATCAGTGGCTGACCTTTAGTAGCTGAGTCATTGCAGTCGCCTATGCCAATGATAGCTCAGAGCGGCAGGAGCTCTTCATGGGCTGTTTTTCCTCTGTGATTTAAAAGTACTCTCTGGCTATGGAAGTTTGGCAGGCCAGTGAACAGTTCGGAAACAAAATGAGGTGAAGGTGCCTGTCGCTAGATAGATGAACTACCGGTGCAGGATTGCATGCTTCCATAAATCGTCAATAATTTGAATCCGGCTCGTTCTGTAAGCAGTGTTCTGTTCAGTCTACGTTACAAGTGGCGTGAAGTCGAAGTGGTCCTACAGCACGCGTCTGTGTTACCTTTTAATGAGTTGAGGAGTCAAAGATACTATGAAGTGGGCGCCACTAACTAATCTGCGTACTTATAATGGTGGAGCAACGTGGTGCGGCCAAATTATGGAATTGCGGCCTCGCCGGTCTGATATTCAACCCTGAGAGCTAGCTAACAGCGTACCGCAAATACTTGCGAGATTGGTTTATTGTTCGCGACGCTGGTAATCACGCCTTCAGGCAGGGCAGTCGCTCCACGATGTCGTTCTTGATTGTGAAGATAAATCCCAGCACCCCGCCGCTCTGTCCATAGACGTTATCTCCGGAAAAATGTGTTTCCCGCACTCTTTTCATGCATTGACACTTGACCAAAGAAGCGGTCCTATCTGAAAATCGCAATATCCGTCTTTGGACAAGACATTTTGCGGATGGTTATATCTGCCCTCTTTTCTGGGCAGTTGCAGACTAGATTGTCTAAAAGCTAACCAACATCCCAGGCAGCCAGATGGAG